CTCCTAGTGAAATTAGTAAATTCATAGCAGTTTTAATGCAACAACCTGAGAATACAGTAGGATTCTTTGTATCTAATACAAGATTTTCAACTAGATCTAAGAATCTTACAAATAATTCAAAAGTAAAAATAGTATTATGTGATGATAATAATTTAATAGATAAGATCAAAGAAGTGCAGAGATTACATTCAGATTCAGATTCTAATATTGTTTGTATTGAAAATATAACAACTGATGAAAACATATCTATTCTAACATCTTGTAAAATATTATAATCTAAATAATAAATTGGATCTTGTAATGCTTTGTGAATATTCTTAGCTTCAATTAGATTTATAGTTTCATTTAAAATTTCTTTAGGTTCTTGTTTTGATCTTATATAGTCAATAACTATATTGATAATCATATTATTATCTAATTCTTTTTCTTGATGAAAAATATCTTTAAGTATTTGATATAAATTATATTCAAAAGTTTGCTCATATTCTTTTTGAGATATTTTTTTTACATGATTAAATTTCTGTACAGTGATCTTTCACTGAACAGAATATAAAATATATTGATATTTGTTTTTACAATATTATATTAAAAAATTGTAATCTTTCATATTTATAATGATATTCTTCGAATTCATAATCTTCTTTATCTTTTTTGATCTTCAATAAAACCTTGTTTAAAAGTATAACAGTTTCAGTTTTTAATATATTAATCAAAGTATTAATTACACTAAAAACATCTAATCCTGTAGTAAAATCTTTTTTTGATTCTTGAATTAACAATTTTTTTATTTCAAAAATAATTTAAAATCGAATATCTTGTTTTTCTAATTCTTCATTTAATTGTTCGAGTAAATATTTGTAAGTCTTAAGATGATCTATTTTAAGTTACATTGTTAAAATTCTACTTGGTACAAAAGTACTAAGTAGATTATGTTTATTAAATAAAAATAAAAATATTGTTAAAAATCTATTCGATTACTGGACTAGTTACTATACTATCTTCTATTTCACTACTATTATCATTAATAGTATTTTCAATAACATGATTTTCACTCTCATTAATATGTTCTATATTATTTGGTTTTTTTCTTTTTCTGCTATTTGGTTTAATCACATTGTTAATTATCTCAATAAGCTTTGGTAAATTCTCTTGTAAAGATTTTGTTAAAGTATATTTTTGTAAATCTCTGAGATCTACTAATTTCTATTCATCATTCCTATCAGGCTCTGTTCATTCAGAAATTTGGTCTCCAATATTCGCAAAATAAATTGCTGTTTTATATAATATTTCTTTATCTTTACTTGGAAAAACTCTAAATCCTTCACTACAAGTAACAAATTTAAGATCATTTTCTATAATTATAATTTTTGCTTCTTCTTTTGCTTCATATATTGTACATTATGGATATGTTTTATTTATTTCCCTTCTTTTTCTAGTTGCTTGATAATATTCAAAATAATCTTTGATTAGATTATTTCTTCGGCTAATCTATACTTGTTTTTTGTTATTTACAAGTACACATAAAGTGAATTCACATTGATTAATTTCAAAATCATCAAGGATTGTTTTAGTACTTCTTTTTAGATTTGTATATATTTCAAGTGATACTTTAAGATGATTTGAAATATCTTCAATCTCGAAATCAGTATTTTTATTCAAACATTATAAATAATTTAATGTTGTTAAAAAATTTTCTTCAGAAATTCTATAATTATCATATTGTATTCTAGCATTTACATAAGTAATTTGATTTTCTTCTTCTATTTTTTTTTGTTATGTATTTAAAAAACTACTTGGTATATTAAATACTAAGTAGTTATAAATAACAAATATTTTTTTTATTAATAATTTCACTTTCACTACTACTACTATCATCTATCCTAAGTTCTTCATCTGAACTAATTACTACATTGTTAACTATATTACAATTCTATGTAACTATA